TGAAAATCCTGATTACAAACATAAGGTATATGTTACTCGCTCAAACATAAAACTTGTAACAAGTATTCAATACTTGTAATGTATGTTACCTTTAAAAATTTATGTATTTTTAGATCAAGGTGACCAAACACTAATGAAAATGGATGACCCAGGTGATCCAGCATCTCAGATGCCTCTCTTACAGTCTCCTCAGAATTCTGCATCCAAAACAGCCTCAAGGCTGCTGGCTGAGGTGATCCAGCCCCACAAACTGCTCCAGCCAAGACCTAACAATTATCAATTATTCTGGTTTTCTCAAGGTTCCCCCAAAGATACCAGCACCCACAAACAACAGGAAGTAGTCTAGAGATTGATGCCCACATTCCCCAAATGGGTTATGGATGTTTATTATCATTTAAGGTGAGTTGATTACAAGTTGTTATTGGTCATAGCAAAAAAAAAAAAAGCTAAACAAAAGAGTTAAATTCAAAGATCTCTTTCTAAAGAAAAAGGGGGTATGTGATAGAGAAATAATGAGATGAAAGAGTAGATTATTGAATCAACTTTAACCCATACATTAGTATGGATTTTGGTTTATTGATATATATTTAATGTTAATTTTTGTTATACTGTATGTATGTTTCTACTCTTGTTTGAGGTATTGTGTTTATATTGCTTATTTAAAAATGTAATGTATAATTAAGAAATACAGATTAATAGTTAGGCATCAATTATAGTCAAATGTATAGTCATGTTAGGTAAGGTTTCAAGGTCACACACAGATATATTTAGATAGTTTGATGGTCTTTGAACTCTTCAAAGATCTACAGAATATGGCATTTAATCTGTTTTATGATTTAAGGATTTTCATGGCAGTGAGACACGTCTGCTCCTGTCAGCACCAATCTACTTCAGAGAAGATGATGGGTATCCAAGAAACTCCTTAAGCATTTTGCCTTCTTTGTGACAAAAGTAGCCACTGGGCAAAGAAACTGCCCTTGTCTCAATTATTGATAATATTCTGTCCAAACTGAATCAGCAGGACACAAACAAACAAACAAACAAACAAATATATGCCCTGTGAAACTTGCCAAGACAAGATAGGACATCCCTTTAAAATTCTCCACTTCTGAAAAATGTCTTTTACATTTGGCAGGCCTGTAGGCCAAAGTTACTGAAGAACTTTGGTGATGTCCAGGCAGCCAGATATCCCTGTTGTTAGGAAACATTTCACCCTCCTGAGGTCTTTGATAGAGCTCACCATAGTCAGGGTTTCTATTGCTATAAGGAGGCACCATGACCACAGCAACTCTTATAAAGAAAACATTTCATTGAGGGCATTGGCTTGCAGTTTCAGAGGTCCAGTCAATCATCGCCCTGGCAGGGAGCATGGCGGTGTGCCAGCAGATTCGGTGCTGGAACTGAGAGCGCTTACATCTTGACTCAGAGGCAGCAGGAAGTTGACTGTCATACGGAGTGAAGCTTGAGAGACTCCAAGCCTGTTCCCACAGTGACACACTTCCAACAAAAGGTGTGCACTCCAGCCCCAAGGTCTGGATTAAAGATGTGTGTCATCCTTCTCCTCCAGCAATACCGCACCTCTTCCAGCAAGGCCACACCTCCCTAAGAGCTTATAGGGGCCAGATACATTCAGACGACTACATTTTACCCCCTGGGCACATAGACCTTTAACAATAACAAGATGCGTTTAGTCCAGTTTCAAAAGTCCATAGTCTATCAAAGTCTCCACACTGTTTAAAAGTCTCTCCTGAGATTCATGTACTTTCTTAACTATAATCCCCTGTAAAGTCAAGTCAAAAAGCCAGGTCACATACTTCCAACATATACTGTCTGGTGCATGCCTTTAATCCTAGCACTCAGGAGGCAGAGACAGGAGGATCTCTGTGAGTTCAAGGCCAGCCTGGTCTACAGAGCGAGTTCCAGGACAGGCTCCAAAGCAATACAGAGAAACCCTGTCTCAAAACAACAACAACAACAACAACAAAACCACCACCACCAACAACAAAAAACATATAATGCCATAGAATATACATCACCATACCAAAATATAGGGGAGGGAGCATAGTGAGGAAACACTGCACCAAAGCCACTTGGCAGAATGTAGACCAACAAAAATGGATTAATTTAAGTTGTAAGAGTTAGCTAGTAACAAGACTTAGCTGTTGGCGGAGCATTTATAATTAATATTAAGCCTCTTTGTGGTTATTGGGGAGTGGGCTGACTGACAGAAAAGTCCACTTACATATGTGTGAGCACCATCACACACACACACACACACACACACACACACACACACACTTATTTTTTCAAGGACAGGACTCTGAGGAGAATCAGATATGATGTGGATGGTCTTTGCTGAGGTCTGAGATACTGCTGTTTGTAGATGAAGGAGGCCGTGACATGGGAGCCAGGGCCCCATGGATGCCACAAATTCTTCTCCTTTTCAGCCCCCAGGTGAGTTGTTCTGTGGCCTTGGAGACCTGGAACCGCAGGGCTCAGGTAGGGTCAGAAAATGTCTGTTCTAGATTCCAGGGAGAAGAAACATGCTGGGGACAGTGACCAGCATCTGTCTCATGAGAAATCTCCCCAACTGTCCAGAATGATGTTCAGGCTGACTTTTTGGGGTCCTTACCAAGGTTCTATGAGTGTAGACAGTGCTTAAGAAATTTTTACATAGCATGGGGTCTGTGCTAAATTTGCTGTGTTGGAGCTTTGGATGGTGTCCTCATGGAATGGGCAATGAGATAAAGCAGAGTGGTTGAAATACAAATATTTAGTGAACAGAACCAACTGTTCAGGCTGTGAGACAGAGGAAGTTTGCTAGACTTGGGATCACAGACCTCAGCTACTGTTATCTGTGTAGCATGGGGCAACTTGTGTCTAGTTTCCCCTTATGTGGTCTGTATGGTTTCTTCATGATCTGTTTGGGCCAGATCAGGGGTGTTTGAGGAAGATGGGAGTGTGCCCACCTCACATTTCTGCTCAGGGACTTCCATCCCAGAAGACTTGAGAAAAGATCCATCTATCATCATATGAGCAAATGGCAGTGTACTGGATTTTGTTTATTTTATTTTATTTTATTTTATTTTATTTTATTTTATTTTTCAAGGTAGGGCTTCTTTGTGGAGCCCTGGCCATCATCAAACCCACCCTGTAGTCTAGGCTGGCTTCAAACTCACAGAGATACCCCTACCTCTGCCTCTGCAGGACTGGGATTAAGGAATTGGTCACCTCTGACTGGCTTCTTTCTCCCTTCCTTCCTCCCTTCCTTCCTCCCTCCCTCCCTCTTCCTACTTCTCCCTCCCCCCTCTCTCTCTCCCTCCCTCCCTCAATCCCCCCCCAGACAGGGTCTCTCTTTATAGGCTGACCTGTCCTGAAACACAGTCTGTCGACCAGGCTAGCCTCCAGCGCAGAAATCTGCCTACCAGTTGCTGGGATTAAAGGAATGGACCACTACTGCCCAGCCCACTTCTTTCTAAAAGGCCCACCTCCTGCTTACATGACAGTGTGTGTGTGTGTGTGTGTGTGTGTGTGTGTGTGTGTGTGTGTGTGTGTGTGTTTGTACTAAATATAGTTCGGATTGCTTGCCTGAGTATGGGTGGGAAACAGGCAACTTACTGTCCACTTCTCACTTCAGCAAGCAAAAAGCCTTCTCTCAACAAAGGCAGACTCACAGGAGCTCCAACACCTGCCATCAAGGAGAAGATGCTAACATGGGTCTCTACCCACACAATATGTTAGGTGTGAGTTTGGGCTGTGGGTGTCAGAGCATGAGAGGATGAGAAGACTGTGCTGTGGGTGCAGCACTCAGCTGAGGCTGGAGAGCTGGGAACAACTAAACTGTCTTCCACTTGACTGTTTTGCCTTTGAACCTTTCAGCAATTTAACCAGGTCGTTCTTATTTTTTAGCTTGTATTTGGATGGTGTCTAGCACTTAGACATTGAATAGATGCTTCTGAAGGAACAGCAGGACAACAGTGTCAATGGCCAGTCTTTCTGTCTACCACCAGCCAGCTCCCCAATAATGACACGAGACTTCTTATTAATTATAAAAATGTGGCCGATAGCTTAGGCTTATTTCTAATTAGTTCTTATAACTTAGATTAACCAATTTCTATTAATCTATGTCCTGCCTTATGACTCGTGGCTGTTACCTCTCCTCCTGCATGTCGTCCTTCCTCAGTGTCTAGCTGGAGACTCCTCTTCTTCCCATCATTCTCTCAGGCCCCCAACGCCTGCCCAGCTGCTGACCCCCAGAGTTCTATTAAACCAATCCAAGTGACCCATCTTCACAGTGTACAAAATGATTATTCCACAACACAGCGGGCTGATGTGGTCTCATGATTCCTGGGAAGACAGCACCCTTCACCCAGATGACTCCCCTGCGACAGCTTTTTGTTTTGGACCAACAACCAGTTCCCAAATCATACTAGTTGTGAATGGTCAGCCTTCACTTAGGCTCATTTCTGGCTGTCTCGTATAACTTAAATTATCCTGTTTCTCTTCATGTATGTTTTACCTCCAGGATTTTTACCTCTCTCTCTCTCTCTCTCTCTCTCTCTCTCTCTCTCTCTCTCTCTCTCTCTCTTTCTGTATATCTTCCTTTCCTGCTGTCTCTATGTCTGGCTGGCTGGTGGCTGCCTGGCTTCTGGCCCTGGGTGTGTCGCTTTCTTTCTCCCTCAATCTCTTTGTTTCTTTCCTCTCTCTAGCCTAGATTTCTCCTATTTATTCTCTCTTCCTGCCTTCCCTCCCTATCCCTCTCCTGCCTAGCTAATGGCCATTCAACTTTTTGTTAAACCAATTAGGTGCCTTAGGCTGGCAAGGTTAAACAGCAACACATCTTTTAATAATTAAACAAAGGCAGCATAAACAAATGTAACACACATTTACACAGTTAAAGTAGTACTCTGCAGCATAAACAAATGAAATACAGTTTACATAGTTAAAAGAATATTCTGCAACACTCCCCATTTGGTCCTCCTGGGCCAGGGATCTAGATTTCAGGAACCATGATTGACAAACTCCGTGGGAACCTGAGGGAACCTGTGGGAACAAGTGCAACAGACACTTGTCAACTGCTCCACCTGGGTTAAGAACACACTTAGTGTGTTGACTAATTTGTTCAATCTGTAAGCTACAGACATCCAATAGGACAGTGGCAAACATATATGCCACTTGGTGAGGCCACATTTTCCAGATATTTGGTCAAACACCTGGCTGGTGGCCCAGAGACTTAGGATGACATATGCCCTCCAAGGAACTGGGGCCCTAAAAGGAACCATGAATTTTTCTTGTAATATCTACTTCACTGGAGGCCTTCAGAGGAAGAAAGGCTCAGGCAGGCACTGTAGGAGATTCTGAGAGAGGAACCACCTGAGGGGTTCCAGAACCTCAGCTGTCCCTGATAGAGGAGGAGGAGGAGGAGGAGGAGGAGTCTGGGGCTGAGTCCACAGTAGCCCAGAGACACAGTGCTGCTGACCACAGTCCTTCCATCATAGAAATAATCTTTGCTAGGCTGGGGGTGGCTTGGTGGGTAAGGTGCTTGTCTTCCTTGCAGTTACAAGGACATGAGTTTATCACCACAACCCGTGGTTTTTTGTTTGTTTATGTTTTTGTATGTATATGTGTATTTTTAAAAGCTGAGGCACTTGTGTGTGCTTATAATGGCAAGATTGGAAAGTGGAGCTAGGTAGGTCCCTGGAGTTCCCCACCAGCTAGCCTGGCCTTCTTGGCAAAAGTCCAGGCCAATGAGAACCCTGTCTCAGACAATAGTGCAATGACACCTGAGTTTGTCCTTTACACACACATATGCACCCACAATGTGTAAATACACACACACACACACACACACACACACACACACACACACACACACACACACTTTTTTTTCTGTCTGTTGAGAGGTTTTTCTCTCTTTACCGGACATCAGAACTCTGAACCTTCTCCAGGCCAACTTCACCTCCCCCAGAGCACCTCTGAGGCCTGTTCACCCAGAGGGCGGCACTGAGCATGCTCAGCAGCAGGGGCACCTCCAGAAAGACCAGGAGCTGGAAGTAGATGCTGCTGAGCAGGGCCCAGAAGGAAAGGAGGAGAGAGGAAGTAAGATGTCACCTGGCATAGAGGCCTCAGCCTCCCTTCCTTCCATAGCCTAGCCTTCAGTGGCCAGAGGAGGACAAGCCTGGGATACAACTAGCATGGCCTCTCTGCAAGTGCATGGCTGGTCGTGCTGCCTGCATGTTAACCCCGGGGAAGCTTTACCTGGTGTCCTTCAGTTTTCCTTTGACCACTGTCCTAGAAATGATTGGTTTTCCTGAATTCTAGAAGTCCTGGACATCTTGTGTTTTATCTGGAGCCCCCATCCCCCCAGGGAGAGGCCATTGGGACAGCCCAGTGGGAAGGAGCTGCCTGTGTCCAGCTCTGCTTACCAGGTGGGGGCACTGGTTTGAGTCTCTCCATGGTTGCCAGTGTTCTCCCTGGTTGATAGTGTGGGTGTCAGAACTGGGGCCATGGTTGTCATTATTACAGTAGAAACTTCTGGGGCTAAAGATACAAAGAGAACATGGTTCGTTCCAACTGAGGACAGCCCAGCTTTGGGTATGGCTTAAAGCTTTTTCCACTAGGAACTAAGAATCTTGCTCTCCAGTCGCCATCCAAAACTGTACATTAATTCTTTTCTAAAGGAAGATGCTGTGCAGAGCAAAGCAGCTCCCCATTTAAAACTCGATTCTTCATGGCTTAATCATTACTGTCTGCCATACAATCTGCAGGAAAACTTCACTTTTGCACATTTTGTCTATTTAAAAAGTATGTATTTATATGTGAATGGGTGTTTGCTTGCCTGATGGGGAATGTCCTCAGTATGTTGTGACTGTGTTTCTCTGTGTAACAGCATCCTCTGCTACCAGCCAGGTGGTGGTGGTGCACACCTTTAATCCCAGCACTGGGGAGACAGAGGCAGGGGGGTCTCTGTGAGGTTGAGGTCAACCTGGTCTACAGAGCCAGTTCCAGGACAGCTATGGCTGACAGAGAAACCCAGTTACAGCATACAGAGGACATCAGCCATCACTCTCCCATATCCATACACACCGTGTGCATGCAGTGCCCATGGAGGCCAGAGAGGCCGCCAGATCCCTGGAACTGGAGTTGAAGATGGTTGTTGAGCTGCCCTGTGGGTGCTGAGAACCAAACCCAGTTGTCTGGAAAAGCAGCCAGTGCTCTTAATCACTGAGCCATCTCTCCAGCCCCAACTTTGTCTATTTTATTGACTGTAGTTGTTTAAACAGACACAAATCTGATCCTTATTACTCTATCTTGTCCAGAAATAGAGCTCCTGTGACTTCCTTTGTTTTATGTTAAAGGGGTGGTGGAGGGGGTGGGGTCTAAGGAGTTTAGCTCAGTGGTAGAGTGCTTGGCTAGCACACATGAGGTTCTGGGTTCAGTTCCCAGAACTGTACAAGTGAGAATACGCAAGACACATGTGTGTGTGTGGGGGAGACAAGGCCTCCCCACCTCACCATCTATCCCAGTAGAAAACAGGACTGATAGAGTCGTCTGTGTTTATCTTTTCCAGTAAGACTCTTACAGTCATGAGTTCAGGCTCCCTGGTCCCTCACTCAGTCAGGATCTTCTGGAATTTTTTCTTACCTGGGTCAATGTTCACATTAACTTTAAAACTGGGATCGTATCCAACTCTGTCAATCCCACACCAGTAAATGCCGGCGTCACTTATCCTCAGGTCCTCCATAGTCACTGTGAAGATGAGGTCAATCTGGTCGTCCCTGATGGACACACGGTTCTTCACCAACTTCTCTGATGTATTAGTTTTGACAAGAATCTCACATGCATTTAAATCAGCTCCCCGACACCAGTACTTCTTGTTATCCTTCCAGCGAGAGTCATACCGGCACCGCACAGTCAAGGAGCCCCGCTCCTGACCTCTCACTATGCTTGGACCTGTGATTGCACCCTGAGCAGTAGAGCAGCCTGGAAAATAGAAAACAAAGGATCCCTGGTCTCCCACTCAAATAGCAAAGCACAGTGCCCTGTGTCAAAAGAAGAATTCACACCAGTCAGTGAAGGGCTACCCCTTTCCCAAGATAGGCCATCATTATTCTATTGGTCAAAGCCTCAAAAAATGGCTAATGTGTATATTATCTTCACTAGGAAAAGCTGTGTTACATTGGTTTCTGCTGCAGAATATTACTATAACTGTGTGACGCTGTGTTACATTGGTTTCTGCTGCAGAATATTACTATAACTGTGTGAAGCTGTGTTACATTGGTTTCTGCTGCAGAATATTACTATAACTATGTGACGCTGTGTTACATTTCTTTCTGTGCATTTGTTTAGTGATGTAAGGGTGTGTGTTTAACTATTTACACAGGTGTTGCATTTGTTTCAAATTTCCTGCCTAAAGCACCTGATTGGCCCAATAAAGAGCAGAACAGACAGGACTCAGGCAGAGAAAACAGAGGTGTGGCTGGCAGGAAGAGAGAATAAGTAGGAGGAGAAATCTAAGTTCAGGAAGAAGAATTAAAGAAGGAGAGAACCAGGGATATGCCTGGAACCAGAAGCCAAGCAGCCAGAAGTCAGCCAGACACACACACAGCAAGAAAGTAAGAAAAGGCAAAAAGCTCCGAGGCAAAAGGTTGATAAAGAGGATCAGGTTAACTTAAGTGGGCTAGCCAGAATCATGCCTAAGCTAGGCTGATCATTTAAAACTATTTATAAGTCTCTGTGCCGTGATTTGGGAGCTGCTTGGTGGACCAAAGGAAAAAAAAAAAAACCTGGTGCAGATGAGGCCAGTTACAGCTCTCAGAAGATAAAATGGTGACATTGAGCAGTCATGACTTCCTGTGTTCAACCCCTCTTCATGTGCCAGTGGCCAATAAAAGTGTATTTGAAAGAATCCTTCTGCAACAATCTATATGTTACCCTGGAGCATGTGAAATGTCAGAAGACCATGTCCACAGGACAGGATCCTGCCTTCATTCAGTACCCGTGACCCTCAGGACGTCCATCTGAGGAGGCCACATGCCGTGGCCATGCAGAAGCCACTTCTGGTAGTTCAGCAGTCTCCAGGGGTTCTGTAGGGACCCGCCCTGGACTAATGACTTGGAAGCTGTCCAAAATGACACCTACCAATCTAATCTCCATGTGGTACAGTGCCGACAGAGCACAGAGCCTGTGCTGTCCTTTAGGTCCACCTAAAGCTGACCCAAAGCTCCTAGTAAGGGGTAGGGATGCAGCTCAGTTGGTGGGGTGCTTACAGAGCATGCATGAAACCAAACAATAACAAATACCTGGTTAAAATTATAAAAGAAGAGCTTCACGGTATTGGCTTCAACAACAACATATGTGTTCCTAACGGCCCAGATAAGAAAACAAAAATTGTTAAATGTAATTATTTTAAACTACAATGACTCAACCAACAGAGTCAAGAGACAGCTTCCAGGTGGGATAACATCTTTTCAGACCATGCACCTGACAGGAGGTCAACTTTCTCATATATGAGCAGGAATTCAACTCAAAGAGTCCAACAGCAACCATAATCCAATTTAAAAAATGATGTAATGAGGGGCTGTGAAGATGGCTTAGTCAGTGTAATACCTGCTGTGTAAGCCTAAGCATGAAGAACCTGAGTTTGTGTCCCCAGCATCCAGTGAAAAACTCAGGAGTGCTGTCGTGTGCCTGTAGCCCAGCACAGAGGTGGACAGTAGAGACAGAGCATCCTGGAAGCTCCTTGGCCATCCAACCCAACTTCAGGTTCAATGAGGAACCCTGTCTCAGAAAATAAAGGTGGGAGCTGAGCATGATGGTACATGCTTTAATTCCAGCACTCAGGAGGCAGAGGCAGGCAGCTCTCTGTGAGTTCAAGGCCAGCCTGATTTATGTGAAGAGTTGCAGGCCAGTTGGGGCTGCCTAGTGAGATCCAGTGTCAAGGATAAAATAACATGAATGTGAAGGTGTGGGGCAATTTAAGAACACCCTCTGGCCTCTTGACCTCAGGCCTCCACATGCATGCATACTCATGCACAGTACACCGGCACGCACGCGCGCGCGCGCACACACACACACACACACACACACACACACACACACACACACGCTCACATCCACACACACACGAGCAGATGAACTGAGCACACAGCTCTCAAAGGAGATACAAACGGTCAAAAAATATATGACAAATGCCCCATGTCACTAATTGTCAGGAGAGAGACACAAATCAGAACCACAGAGAGCCATCATCACCCCCAGGTCAGAATGGCTATTACCAAACAGCACATAACAACTGTAGACGCATGTGTGGGACAGGGAAGTCTGACACGCTGTGGGTTGGAATGTAAATTAGACATGATGGGAAACACTATGGAGGTCCCTCAGAAAAGTTAGCATAGATCGGCTGCCGCATAAGACAGCAACTGCACTCGGGGGATATAGCCTGTGTTGGTTACCTTTCTGTCACTTTGACTCCACTTGGGGGTGTGCAGAAGGAAGGAACATGAATTGAGAAGATGCCTCCATCAGCCTGGCCTGTAGGCAAGTCTGGGGGACATTTCCTTGATGTGGGAAGGTCCAGTCCACTGTGGGCAGTGTAGCATAAGAAAGCAGGCTGAACAAGCCAGGGGGAGAAACCCAGTAGGCAGTGTTCCTCCAGGGTCTCTGCCTCAGTGCCTGCCTCCAGGCTCCAGCTCCATGATGGACTGTGATCTGGATGTGTAAGCCAAGCAAACCTTCTCCTCCCCCAGCTGTCCTTGGCCATGGTCTGTAGCACAGTAGCAGAAAGCAAGCACACTCCCAGAGAATGAAGTGAGAATGCTGAAGACACACCTTCCCGTGTGTTTCCTGCAGCAGAATTCACAACAGCCAAGGCCCAGAATCAGCCTGGATGCGGATGAATGGATAATAAAATGTGCTGCATAAATGCAGTGCAATATCACTGTTGAGGGGTTGCATGCTCTCATTTGCAGCCTGTGGACGGAATTGGCTTGAACACAGAGGTCCACTTACCTACTGAGTACTGGCTTCATGCATTACCACACCCAGGCCCTACAAGTTTATTTTACTGTCTATTAAAAATCAGAATGTCCTAGCACTCAGAGGGTGGAGGCCAGAGGACCCAAGTTCAGGGTCATCCTAGGCTACATGAGATCCTATTTCAAAATTGCCAAACACGAAATTATAAAGATATTTTTACATAAATTTGTTTATCCATTCTCTCATCTACTTTTGTGTAGAAGCCAGGTTTGAGAAACACACTCTGGAAGGATTTTTAAAAGTTGGTTTTGGTTTTGGTTTTCCTGAGGCACCCATAGGATTCACAAGATGCCAAAGTCTTGCTTTTCATTTAGGAAGTAAGCATTTGGTGAATGAATTAGCTCTTCCTCTTTTCCCCAACCCAGGGCAGAATTCCGTGTCCTCCCCCACCGCTGACACTGTGATGTCGTAAAGTCCCAGCTACTTACCTGGGAGGAAGAGGAGCAGAGCAGGGAACAGCCACATGGTCCTGTCCCCTCTCCTGTCCTTGGTGGTGACAGATGCCAACACCCTGAAAGAACTTAAAACTCAGTTTGAATTTCCTCTCAGTCTCTCTTCTTTATCTCCTTGACAACTTCTCAATTTTTCATGTTTCAAGAAAGAGGATGTCGTTTGAGAAGACTGACAAGTCAGAAGTCATTGTGTGAAGTCATTTTGTGGTACAGCGGGATGGACTGGGGACTTCCTCTGCTGGATAGATCCGAGGCTATATCTGAACTTGAAAGATGGATGGGACTCGCCAGGGGAGATGCAGATACACAGGTCAGTAGAGACAGATGCAAAATATGGAATACAGCAAACCCCTCTGCTCACTGGGACATAAATGAGTTGCAGGGGATCATGGAACTGCCAGCTCCCGAATAATGGCACAGACTTTTTATTAATTATGAAAGCTTGGTTTAGCTTAAGCTTGTTCTCAAATAGCTCTGAATATTTAAATTAACTTGTTTATAATATTCTGCATCCTGCCACATAACTCTTAACCTCTACTCAGTTTCAAAAGTCCAACTTCCTCCAGTAGTCTTCTGAGGAATATCCTGGGCCTCCAATTAGTTCCTATCTCTGCCTGGAAGTCCTGCCTATCCTCTACTGTCTAGCTATTGGTTATTCAATTTTTTTTTATCAAACCAATCAGAAGGTCCCTTAGGCATGTGAGTAAGGAGAGAGACACATTCTCACACAGTGTACAAATTATTTTCCCAACATTTCTCCCTCTTAGTCCAATAAAATGCTCTTTCTCTAACATCAGTAAGCCATGTTCAATAAGAACAATTATCAGATAAGCACTAGATTCCCAATGTCTAGTCCATTTTGTGTTTGGCCTCTAATCCTATCTTGGTGAGTCCAAAGTTTTGTACTTAAATCACTTCCTAACATAAACTGTACTACTAGACTAAAAATACTGTTCTAGACCTTAAAATATTTTCATAAACAACTTAAGCTTTTATGTTTCTCAAAATTTATATATTTTTTAAAATTTATAAATATTAAATCTCTTCTGTGAGTTTCTTTTTTTGAATTTGGTAACAAGGAAAACTGCAAAACTATATATGATATATAATCTTCAAGCCCTTCAGAGACCAGAGAAGAATAAAATATCACCTGAGTAAACAGAAAGTGTAGACCAAGCAACTTCCAAAACTACAGAAACGACAGAGACAGCTGGCTGCTTCCCGGACAGTCACTCAAGATTCCTTTACAATGTTGGAGCAAATATCTTTGGCCTATAGGACCAGTATATCTGACACACCTTTCCTGAAGCATGAATTTTGAGGAACTGGCCTACCTTGTCTTGGCAAAGTTCCATAGTTGATTTCTTTTGTGCCTACTTGACCAGTTTGGACAGCATACTGTCAGCAATTGACGCAAGGACACTTTCTTGCCCAATCGATAGCTTTGCCACATTTGAAATAAACTCCATGTGGAGGTCCATTGATGATCATCTTCTTCGAAGTAGATTGATGCTGCCAGGAGAAGACAGTCTCACTGTCATGAAAAGCCTCATGCTATTAAAAACATCTTAAACGCCAAATTCTGTAGACCATGAAGTGTTTGAAGACTGCCTATCTATCTAAAATATATCTCTGTTTAACTTTGAAAACAGACCTAAGAACAAAAAGCTTGTTATAGATGACTATTAACCAGCATTTCTTAATTACCCTAAAAAGTTTGTAATAGTAGCTTTCTAGGACTAGAATTTACATTACATTTTTAAATGAGTTGTAAAAGTATGATATTTTAAACAAGAATAGAAACATCTATACAGAGCGTTGTGGCAAAAATAAACTTAAATTTTTATCACTATATAAAAATCCAAACCAATGTCAAATATTTGAAACTAGTACTTGCTTTTTAGTTTAAATAATCCATGCTTTTATCCTATCATTCCTTTTTTCATCCCATACCCGGTTTCTTTCCCCAACATTAAGTAGGAAAGAAAGAAGGATAGAAGAAAGACAAAGAAAGAAAAAAGAAATCCCTGAATTTAACCTCCTTTGCTTAGTTTCTTCTCTGACCACGACCAATAACAATTTGTAAGCAACCCCTCTAAACAATGAAAAATATCCATAACCCACTGAATATCAAAACCCACACACATTACCTCTCAGGTATGTGGGCATTGTGTTCTTAAAATTGCTGTTGTCTGGCATTGAAGGCCTCTTTAGGGGACCCTGAGAGAATGGGATAATGATCAAGTCCTGGGATTGCTAGCTGTATCATTTGTTGTCCAGTCTCTGTGTGATGGAAAAGTGGAGGGCCTAACTGAATTCCTGGCTAGCAGTTTGTGAGGATGGACCATCTTACCCAGCCACTTTGAGTTTATTCTGGATGCAGATTACTGAGGAAACGTCAACGGAGGCATTCTGTGAGGCTGGATCACCTGAACTACTTACCTTGCCTTATCTTGTCTTCACTGGTGTCAAGTCTTTTTGTTCGGAAGGCATACAAACATTTAAAGGTAACATACATATCTGAACTAACACAATATGAAATGTGCAGTGTGATCAAATCAGCTAAAGATGATACTCTCTTCTATGTTTGAGCAGATAAAAGGCATCTGTCAACCTCATAAGTCTGTCTGGACTGCATAAGCAAGCTGCCATGCGGATTCTATGGACAGCAGCATCTATCATGCCCCATCCAGCCTCAGAGCTGCTCCCATGTAGAAGGATCAGCATATACATCACCTGTCTTATACTTTTCTTGGTTTCTTCCTTCATGGCTTCAGCCAAGATTCAGGAAGTCTCCTCTGGTTGAATCCGATCTTTTTTAATTTGAAGGAATCCATAGCTTTTCCTTTCCTATGAAAACAAAGTCATAACCTCTCTCTCAATGCAACACTTTCCCCGACTTGTTGAGGGCTGTGAAAGTATACAGCCAGTGAGAACTGGTGATCAGATGTTAACCCACCAGAGGGAACCTATTGCTCCTGTCTGTATTTCACATCTGCAAAAGCAGCTTTGATGTCACCCAATACCTGTACTTTCCTGTCTAGTGTCATGTGATGTGACTATATAATCTCATGATTGCATCTCAGTCAATGGGCTCAAATATCTGTGGATGATCTGGAAGATGACTTCTCAGTCTATTTGATTTTGATATGTAGAAAATATACTAGAATATGCTTCATAACTAGATCTACTGTTCCACCGAGATTGTAAGACACTTAAAAGCCTGCTTTGTTCCTTTTGTTGAGACTAACACAAGCAAATACCAATTGTTCCACAGTCTAAGACAAACTGCTCACAATTGGCTCATCTTTACCTCAAGATAAGTTCAAACTACCCTAAATATTTCTGTAAATGGATCATACGTTTAAAACTTTATAGTTATGTGCAAGGTCAGAATCAGTGGTGTGTAACCAAGGTTATTAACACAAAGCAGCCTAAACATCATGCCAATTCCTTCCTTGCCAAGTCTAGCTGATAAAAGACCCATGTGTACAAGCTTGTCTTACTGAGCCTATGTCCCAACACTGTGGTCACAGTCTTACACCAGAAACCTTGAAACTTTGTGTTGCCATGGTAAATGGCTTTGCCCTCCTCAGTTACCCAAGGAATGTGCTATGACCACTGAGATGTGAACCTTGTAACTTTTCTTTAAGGCCTTAAAACTCCCACATAAAATGTTTTTAAAGCTAGGTGAACATAGAAGCTAGGCAGAATGGAAACAGAGAATTAGAAGAACTAGAGTTAAAGTAGATTAAAAGAAAAGACGCTCAGATCATGTGTAAAGTTATTATAAAAATCTTTCAATCCTGAGAAGGAAGCATTTCTCTGAGTTACCCTGGGTAGTGGCCTGGGAGCTGGACTTCCAAACCGCTACAAGCATATATGTTACCTGTCGTGTAGTTTTTCTTGGTTTCTTCCTCATGTCCAAAGCTAACATTTCAGGAAGTCTCCCCAGGTCAAATCTGATGGTTATTAATTTTGAAGGAACCCATAGCTTTTCGTTACCTTTAGAAACAAAGTCATAACCTCTCCCCAATGCAACACATTTCTTGACTTCTATTCTGAGGTTAAGACATCCTTAAAATATTTAGGCTGGTTTAATTCAGCAGTTTCATGTTTTAATATTCACTGTCTCTACACAGCTGTTTTTTTTGTTCATTAGCAGTTAAAAAGATTTAAAGTAAATAAAGTACTACATAAGGTCCAAATGCCTTGTGTTATGGTATTTCATATCCGTACATGGCTTATTTGTTTATATTACATTATTCTCTCTTTAAAGACTTTGCTTTATTATGATCAAACTATTTATTTTTTCTTTGACTGTCTATACCTGCTTCCTTTTCCTTCTTCAGCACCTAGGCACATTTTCAACCATAGTGTTCCTGTTCAGATGTTTTTTCAGTCTGGATTTGGCTTTTTGCCTTCCTGAGCCTTTCTCTGACAGTGTGAGCCTAGTCTTAAATGGCCAGGCCACCTCCATGACAATCCCATAGAAAGGTTGGTTGTATGCAGCAAGTACTCACAAGCCTGCCAGAGAGACTGTGGTTTTGGTCTTTTTTTTTTTTTTTCAGCTTTCTCAGGCAGGGTGGCTGCAGTAGCAAGAGAGCACAGGACAAGCCCAGAGTGTTGAGGGGAATTGTTGAGGGCTCAGCTTGGGGCAGCACAACTATGTACCTCAGAGCAGGGAACCTCTGGCCAGGGACACCTGTCAAAATGCTACTAGGACCATGGATGTTGGCTCAAAGAAAGCGGGAGAGTTTGGGTTTGCTGCAAGGTCTCATGTAGCTCAATCTGGCCTTGAACTCAGATCCTCCCTCCTCCTCCACCAAACGGCTGGGATTACAGGCACTCATGTCCATGCTCAGTTTTGTGAGGGGCTGAAGGCTGAACCCAAAGTTTCACAGTTGCCAGCAAGCTCTCTATACACCCAACTGAATCCACAACCTCTTGTTTTTTTCTTTAATTTTTTTTTTTGATAGACAGAGTTTTGCTGCGTAGCCCAAGGTGGCTTCAAACCCTCTCTCCAGTGTCAGCCTCCCAAGTTGTGGGAATCTGTGTTGGTTTAAATCCAGAGGACCAGTTGTGTTTATAGATATAGACACAGTATATCTCTGGTATCAAATTCGTGGGAGGAAATTTCATGATTAATCTTCATTGTCAGCTTGCCTGGATTTGAAATCACTTAGGAGAATTCCCTGTAGGTCTGTCTGTGAGGGTGTGTATAGAGAAGACTGAATGAGGATGTTGGCTGTTCTAAACCTCTAGGCTAATGTCAATATTCTGCTATATACTCATAGGTTGGCAACTACTGTTTTTGCCATCACAGAGCCTTTATGCAGTAATTAGTGGGCACAGATGCAGAGACCCACAGCCTAGCACTGGGCCCAGCTTGGGAACCCTGCTGTAGAGAGGGTGCAAAGATTGCACTAGTAGGAGGGACAAGGACATCATGAGGAAAAACCCAGAAACAACTAACCTGGGTTCATAGGAGTTCACAGAGTGTGGACTGACAGCCAGGGAGCCTGCGGGGGACTGACCTAGGCATTTCACATGCATGTAACAGGCGTGCAGCTTGGTCTCCATGTGGGACTCCTAGCAGTGTGAGTGAGGGATGTCCCTAACGCTTTGGCTGACTTCTGGGAAACTATTACTCATCCTTGGTTGCATTGCCCAGCCTTAAGACAAGAAGAGCAGCTTAGTCATATCTGAACTTGACACGGCAAGCTTTGTTGATGTCCATGGAAGTTTCACCCCTTTCTGAACAGAAACAGAGGAGGAATGGATGGTGGGATTAGAAAAGAGTTGGGGGGGAGGGATGGGCGGAGAATAGGGAGGGGAAACTGCTCAGGAGGTAAAATAAATCCATACATTGATACTTTTAAATACATGCAGACTGAAAGATTGTGAGATACAGCGCCATCTCCTGGCTGCAGCCGTCTCAGAACACCCAGACTCAAGGGGAAGGAAGATTAAGCCTGACAGGTCAGAGGAGTTTTAAAGAATTTGCAACCAAGACTTAAAGCTGCTACAGAAAAGGTTCTTAATTGAGTATCGAGGAAACATGGCACCGACGGTCTCTTCGCGTCTGTACTCAATGCTGTTCCGCAGGACTTAAACCTTCGCCTTCACCATCCTAGTGGACGCCCTCCCACCCTCACCCTCACCCCCCTACCCCCTGAGCACTCCTTCGATCAGGGCGCAGATACGAACTAGGATCACATCAAGGAGGGGAAGCCATGGGAACACCTAAAGCACAACTATGAGAACAAGGAGGAAGTAGCCCTTGCTCTGACGGCCAGAAGGAGGCTTCCACCTGTCACCTGCTTGCCTGGAGCTGGGGCTCAGCCTGAGGATGAGTCTGAAGTTACTCTTCCTGCACAAGTAAGTGGTGGCTCCACCCAGCAAACAGACTCTCGCTTCTGCTGTGTCTGAAATGTATTTGACTACAGTTATCAGCAAATAAATGCAAGTTATTAATGAGGAAAAAAGGTTCTTAATTTAGGACCATGTCATTGCTTGTTATAAGGACAAGACCTGAAGGTGTGACACCCCACAGCCCCAGTGACAAGACAGGCAGAAGAGTTGAATCTGCCCTGATGACTGTCCCCACCTCATCCCCAAAGGCCATCTGTGCACCTTAGGTCAGTCCCCATGCCTGCTGGGACACCATATGGCCCCAGGATACATCAGGCTCTGAAGTCCCCATCCTCTAATTAGAGGCCACAGATGGGCATCCGAGGTTCTGCAGGAACTAACAGACACTTTCTGTTTTACCCACAATTTAAGGGAAATTTGTTTGTGTGTAAGTTCCACTGTGGGTGCTCTGTCCAGAACCCATCCTTTGGTGGCTTCATCTCTCCCTGGGCTCTAGGTGATGTCACACATCTGCCACTCAAATGCGTTTGACTGGTTTTTGACAAAAACAATGAGGAAAGATGGAGAGTGTAACAAACACCGTTGCAATATTTGGACATCCACATGCTAGAAAACTAAATAACTAGAGCTGACCCCACCTCAAGGCAGAACAAGAAATCCTAAATTAATCACGAATCGTGAGCTCAAATGTTAAATAAAAAGCTACAAAACTCTGATCTAGTGGCCATCAGCGTAGCCCAAAAGTGGCAAGTTCCAGTGCAGAAAGAGACCCTGTGATAGAGGGGTAGAGCAGAACAGCTCACACCGACTTATGGCCTTGCATGCTCTTGTGAGTACATACATGCCCCACCGCACACGCGCGTGCGCGCACACACACACACACAAACACACACACAAAAGGTGGGGAGGAGGAGTACATAAATAAACAGTAGATAGATACTTTAAACATTTTTAATTGGGACAAATAAAATGCAATTAATGATTTTTATACAAACATAATTTAAAAGAAAACTTGATGAATTGTGTGTAATCAAAGTTTAAAATGTATTGGGCAGGGGGATGGGTAATGTGCTTGTCATGTAACCATGAGGACCAGAGTTCAGGTCCCCAGAACCTATATAAAACCTAGGTACCGTGGCACACATCTGTAAGCTCCGCACTGAAGGTAAGGAGACAGAGCAAGGGGACTCCCAACCTGGAAACTTTCCTTTCTTTTTAAAATGTTTTATTTCCTTCACATATATGAGTGGTATGTATGTATGTATGTATCCATGTAAGTGCAGTGCCCGCAGATGCCAGAAGGATCCCCTGAGCTGGGTTCGGAGGTACCCAGTGTGATCCTAGCACCTGAACTTAGTTCCTCTGCAAGAGCAGCCTCTGCTCTTAACCACTGAACCATCTCTCTGGCTCAGATTTTATTTTCTTTTTAGGAACTTGATTGGCTAGTCCCAGATGTGTGTAGAAGAGAACCCGCCCATTGTTTACAAAGACTTCCCCATGTCCAAGAGAGTGACATGACATCGGGACTTGAGACTCAAGCTCTAGCAAGAAAACAGCTGTGAACCTGTTCAGAGATGAGAATTCGACAAACTAAACAAACCTGAGAAGCCAGTAAAAAGAATCCAGGCATATTCAGAATTACTATCTTCCTCCATGTGGCTGTCATTGCTGAAAGGCAAGGACAGGGGTAACTTAATTGATGGGAAAATCAATAAAGAGCAGACACCTTGGTTCATATCTTGAATCCCAGCACTAGGGTGTTAGAGGCAGATGGGTCTCTGTGAGTTGCAGGCTAGCCTGGTCTACATAGAGATTTCCAGGACATCCAGATTAGCATATTGAGGCGCTGTCTAAAAACAAAACAAAACAAAAAGATCAAAAGTCAGTCAAGGACTTACTTACTTACTCATGACAGGAAAACTTTACAAACACTTTCTAAGGACCAGGAGGACGACTCAGTGCTTGAAGATGCTGTGTGAGACTGGGGACCTAAATCCAGTTCTCAGAATTCACCTGGGAGTGGAAGGAGGGAACGGATCACACAAAGATGTTCACTGACTGCCAAATGTGTGCTGGGGGATTCGTGTGTACTCACACTCACCACATATATATTACATGTAATAAATAAAAATGTGACCATGAAAAGTAAAAGCACTTACAAGACAAAAGGAAAACACTTTAATTTTGGAGTATCTGATGGGGATGTCCTTCTGTATGCTGTGAATGTAGGTTTCTCTTATTAGTTGATGAGTAAATGCTGATTGGCAGGTGACCAGGCAGGAAGTACAGGCAGGGCGACCAGACTAGGAGAATTCTGCCCTCCAAATATTTATGTCTATATCCTTTGAATAGCACTGTTGGAGAGGCTTCCTTCTGCTGTGGTTTTAGTGCAGAGAAAAAGTAACTATTGAGTGATTAGCCCTGAATGGGACATCTGTATAAAACCCCCAAACTTCCCCAGGGCAGCCTCACCCTACCCCAAAACACCCCCACCCTACCCCAAGGCACCCTACCCTATCTCAAGGCAGCCCATCCTTACCCCAAAGCACCCCCACCTGGCCAAAGGCACCCCTACCCTTAACCAAGGCACCACACCCTACCAAAGGCACCCCCATCCCTACAACAAGGCTCAGGGACATTATGGAAGGAAGAGGGAGAGGAAAGAATTCCACAGCCAGAGAGGAGGACGACAGTGCTGGGAGATGCTGTGCTCTGGCTGTGCCATGGCCACAACACTCAAGACGCTGTAGCTTTGGTTACCTGCCCAAGACCAAGGCAGCAAGATCAGTTAGCATTCCAGCAGGTGGCAGTAACTGAACTCAGTGTTACAGAGAGAAAAAGAAAAATGGAGAAAAGGGGATGGACCATGAAGGGGGAGGGGACACAGGCCTGGGGAGTGGGAGGGTGGGATTGGAGGTGGATGTCATAGAGTTATGTTGTACATGTGTGAAATTATAACGAATAAGTAAAGACACGCTATTAAAACATTATGTATTTATTGGGCACATTTTTATGTGTGATTCACCACAAAGAGTCTTCTAAGAATCTCAGCATTGTCAGAAGCACAGATTGTCCTCTGCCACCAGAGGAGCTGAGTCCATGACAGGGACACGGCTTTGCTGTCAACAGACCTCACTGATTTCATAGTCGGGACAGTGCCTCTTCTCCCCAGAGCACCCCTGAGGCCTGTTCACCCAGAGGACCGCACTGAGCATGCTCAGCAGCAGGGGCACCTCCAGAAAGACCAGGAGCTGGAAGTAAATGCTGCTCAGCAGGGACCTGTGGGGACAGGGTCACAGTAAGCTCCCTTCCCAGAATGCAACGCTGCTGCCCTGCACTGTGTGCCTGTCTCTTTAACCCAGCTGTGTGTCCACAGTGCTGTGTTCAGGGACAAAGCAGCCCTGTCTAAATGACCAGTGTGACCCATAGTCCAAGAAGTAGCCTTGAACTGTGGGCCTGGCCCACTCTCTGCAGACCAACCCCATGGAACTCTACTGCTAAGGCCTCTAACCAGGCAGTGCCTCCCCCACCCACAGCCAAATCTCTTCTAAATTGAGGCTCCCTGTCTCCTCCTGGTGGCTGTTATTTGTTATTCACTTATTTGTGTTTGTTTGTTTTGGACAGGGTCTCTATAATATAGCTCAGACTGTCCTGGAACTCACTATGTGGACCAGAATGGTCTTGAACTCACAGAGATCCTCCTTGTTCTGCCTCCCAAGTACTGGGATTTAAGGCTTTTGTCAGTATAAGCAGTGGCTGTATTGATTTCGATAAATTAATTCGTTGATTAAGTGGTGTGTGTGTGTGTGTGTGTGTGTGTGTGTGTGTCTGTGTGTTCCTGTGTGTGTCTGTGTGTGAGTATGTGTGAGAGTGTGTTTGTGTGTGAGTGTGTGTCTGTGTTTGTATGTGTGTGTGAGTGTGTATATGTGTGTTCCTGTGTGTGTGTGTGTTCCTGTGTGTGTCTATGTGTGAGTGTGTAAGTGTGTGTGTCTGTGTATGTATGTATGTGTGTGTGTTCCTGTGTGTGTGTGTGTGTGTGTTCCTGTGTGTGTGTTCCTGTGTGTGTGTATGTGTGTGTGTGTGTGTGTGTCTGTGTGTGTGTATTCCTCTGTGTGTGTATTCCTCTGTGTGTGTGTGTCTGTGTGTGTGTCTGTGTGTGTGTGTGTGTGTCTCTGTGTGTGTGTCTCTGTGTGTGTGTCTCTGTGTGTGTGTATTCCTCTGTGTGTGTGTGTGCGTGTGTGTGTGTGTGTGTGTGTGTGTGTGTCTGTGTCTGTGTCTGTGTCTGTGTCTGTGTCTGTGTATGTTCCTGTGTGAGTTGTGCAGCTGCACCTGTGTGAGCATGAATGTGGAGGTCAGAGGATGACCTTGGGTGTCATTTCTCAAGAATCATCACCTTGTCATGCTTGTCTTGAGACAGGTCTCACTATGTAGCTCTGGTTAGAATGGAATTTTCTATGTAGTTCAGGCTGGTTTTAAATTCACTGAGACCTGCTTGCCTTTGCCTCCCAAGTGCTGGGATTAAAGGCGTGAGCCACCATGCCTGGCCCAACTATCTTGTTATCTGACAGGATCTCTCATTGGCCTGGAGCTTGCCAAGTAGGCTAGGCTGGCTTGCCAGTGGGTCTTAGGGACCCTCCTGTCTCTACCTCCAGAGCTATGGTATTTCAAGTGCATGCCACCATGCCCAACATGTGGTTGCTGTGGCTTAGAGCACTTTGCCAGCAGAGCTGTCTGCCCAGTCTATGGATGTGTTTTTGTAGTAACCTCTTGGCAGGAAACTAAGTCCATCTCAGCAGGTCTGTGTCTGGGTGTCATTTCTGTGTCTCAATATTTATTTAGATGAGCAACTGGCTTTTAAAGTCACCCACCCAGGTCAGTGTGGGCCTGGGAGATGCAGGAGGAGCCCAAGGGGGGAGATCCAAACCCTTCAACCTCCACCCTCTCAGCTTTAACCCCCACTCCCAATCCAGAGGCCTCAGGGATATTGATTGGTTCCTCACCGAGGGTGTGGGCTGGGACCGGGAGTTGTGTCCTCTGTGGTCACACTGGGCTGAGTGTGCACCAGTGAAGATGTCAGGGACCCCAGGGTATTTGTTCTGTTCTCGGGGACAGAGCCTGTGACAGCAGCAGAGGCTGGAAACACAAGACAGTCCCAGTGACCTTAACTCCATCTCCTGCCCACTGAAACCTCTGCAGCTCTGCTTCTCACAGGTGGACAGCTAGAGACATGGTGGACAGCTGTCTGTCAGCCCATAAGCCCCATGGCCACACCAAGGCCTGGACAGGGCCTCCCCTCCCAGCCCTTCCCATCATGCACTGTGGCTGGTTGGTGCTCTCAAACTTGAGGCCAGTCTTCCTATAGAGGAGAGTTTGTCAGTGACAAGACATTGTTGCCAGGTCCCATTCAGCCTCAGTCACACCGTTTGCCTCCTTGGCTTCCATCCTTCTGGGGACAGACACAGGGTGGTGGGACTCTGTCTGCCTCGCCCACTCATTCCCACACTGTCAGCCAGAGAGGCCACTGGGCAGTCTCTTCTGAGCAATGGCCAGATGGAAAGTTCTAGATAGGCCAGTGCTTGAAGGACCCTGTGCAGAGTGGCCTCTACTGCAGAGAACTAGTGACACTGGCAGGATTTGCTTCCACATTATTCAAAATGAGTCCACAGAGGATGCTGGGGGGGGGATCTTTTTGTGAGGGGGAAAACCAAAACCGAGAATTAGAGCAGGAAGCTGGGTGTGGTTTTGCCAGCCTGTAATCCCGGTGCTAGAGAGGCAGAGTCAGGAAGATCAGTCACTAGAGATGAATCCCAACTACATAGTGAGCTTGTGGTCAACCTGGGCTACACAAACCCTCTCTCAGAGAAGAAAAACACTGGGAAACACAGAGCAGGTCAGCCTCTTCCGTCCCTGCCACCAACCTGCCCTTAAAGAGATGTGATTATTAGGGCTCTATAAGCAAGGGAGGCTCCATTAGTGGAGAATGAACTGTGAACATGGAGAACATTGGGACCAAAGTGGCTGAGAGCCTGTCGTCCATCCCCCTTGACCTTCTGCTGGGAAGGAGCACTTTTGGGGGACTCTCTGAGTTTCTTCCTGCAGGAAATGGTTCTTGGGAAAGGGGAAAAAAACTCAAGTAGGAGGAGCTGAATGGATTCCTCAGGGGTCAAGAAGCCTGATCCACAATGCTGCCTCCTTCTTGTGTCTCTAGTTCCTCTCAGAAGCCCCAGAACCACTGTGATGAGGCTGGTCCCTCAGGACCCCCATGGAAAGGAAATGTCTGCTCAGTCCCAGGCCAGAGCAGCCTTTGACATAGTGGAGCAGGTGTGCTGGGTACTGTTCCAGCATGGAGATGGGGACAGCACTGAATGGGACCTGGGAGAGGATTAGTCTCCCATCAGGAAGTCACAAAAGAGCCAGTGTTTCAGGACCTGTGTCTACAAAGGTTCAGGCCTGATACTGTCACATTGGACACACCGAGAATATGCAACCGGGGCTGAGACAGTTCTGTGGGTAAAGTCCCTTGCTTGACAAGCCAGGTGAACTGAGTTTGAGCCCAGGACCTACACTGTCAGGAAGAAAACTAAGTCCCAGATGTTCTCTGAGTAACACACACCATGGGCAAGTCCAAACAGACAAACAAGCAAATGATAATAAATAAATGTACAGAGAAGAGTTTCTAAAATTCACATTCCCCCTTGTGCCTGTGTCTGCATGCACACTCATATATTGGTGTACATAGGAAATCACATATACCACACGTGCTCTCCCAGGGCACCTGTGTGCTCACACTCCCTGTGTCCTGAGTCACTGATTTTTCCAAGCTCACCATGCTATTGTATCTGGCTTCCTACTTTCATGAGAGGATGACAGGTTCAGACTCAGGATGCCAAGGCATGAGGGGCTTACCTGGGACCACAGACACCACAACCTTGGAGTAAGAATCAATCCCCAAGGAGGGAGTGATCTCCCACCAGGAGCCATTGATAAACGGTATATCCACACCACACATGTAGGTGTCTGCATCCTCCAGGGTGAGGTTGTCCAAGGTCACTGTGAAGGTGAGGGTGGCTGGATCGTCCCTGATGGACACTCGGCCATTCCTAGCTTCTTTCGAGGCTCTCGTCTTGACAGTATTTTGACAAGATCGTAGCCGTGACACTCTGCACCAGTATTTGCTGTAAGCCTTGTGTTTCTCTTCATACTGACACTGCACTCTCAGGGATTCCCCCACGGTGCCTGTCATGGAGCTGGGACCACGCAGAGGGACACAGCCTGGAAAACACAAGCTCCAATTCTGTACCCTCCTAGCTGGATGGGGGTCCGGCCTCCCTTGGTCAGATCTTAGGGAGCTGCCTGGTCTGGAGGAACCAGAGAGAAAGGAGACAGGCTTTGTCAGACCAGGAGTCAGGACTGAGGTGAGCAGCTCTGTTTTGAGAGAGAGAGAGAGAGAGAGAGAGAGAGAGAGAGAGAGAGAGAGGAGAGACTTTACCTATGTACGTACATACATACATGTGTGCATGTCTCTGAGTGAGACATGTGCCTCTGTGGGACACTTGCGTGTGTTTGGTATGCACGCACAGGTGTGCAGATACCTGTGTGTACACAAAGGAGGTTGTGTTGCTCCCTGGCAATGACTGTCACAGCTGGACCTTTCCGTAGGTCCTGACTGTCTCTTCTGTGGTAGACGTGACTGTGCACTGAAAGCTGGCAGCACCTGGGGCCATGCGGCCTCTCCTGCCCCCCCCACTCTCTTGCCCTCACTCCTGGCCTCTTCTGCCTCTGCTGGCTGCTCTCTCCCACCCCCCAATGCCCTGTCATGCCCTCTCACTTACAGCAGGAGTTCCCCTTTCCCGTCTGTAACCCCTCCCCTGTCCCCATGCTTACCTGGGACCTGCAAGAGGAGCAGGGATGAAGGCAGCCACACTGCCATCACTCTTGGGATCATTTCTCAGCTCTATGTCACCTGCACCCAGTCCAAGCCCAAGAGAGCAGAAGGGCGTCTCCTAGGGTTAGGATGTCCACGTGCCTATGTCTCCTTCCTGTGCTCTGCTTCCTGGTCCTGTGAGGCTCCAGATGAACTTGGGGCACGAAGTGCTCTGAAGATGCTCCAGGCCTCAGGGGCCCTGGTTCCTGTCACTCCCAGTGAGGGACACATGAAATGCCATGGATTGAGGATGCCACCTGTCCCCTAGCCCTCAACCAAGGGCTTCACAACCTTCCCACTCCAGGCAGAGCCCTGGGCTGCATTTCCTTTTTTGTTCAAGCTGCCAAACTTCTGTGACACGCCACTTCCTGAGTGGACTTGAGAGCTGTGCATCTTACTGCTCCTTCTCTGTGAATACTGAGGAACCATCTCACCATGTATGCCTGTGTTGTTCACAGTGAAACCTTCTTGAGTTCATTGTGAATGGGAGGTTCATGGAACAATTCTGATGGATGCTTGGCCAGTCTCCTCTTTGCATCTTGGGTCCTGCTAATCCTGCATGTTGCTAAACATGGATAACAAACTTGTATTTTTCTTTACACAGTCACTGTGTGTGCAGGAATTCCCCCACGGGGACTTGCACAGTGCTGGGACAGAGCAGAATGAAGAAACCTGGGAAACATGAGTTCCAGTTGTGGCTTCTCAGGTGGGCCAGGTTTGAGGCTCCCTAGGGTCAGATCCTAAAGAGACTCCATTGTAGAGGGGACTGAGGAGACCCAGGAGTTGAGACTTAGGGGCAAAGATGTAAGGGGCTATGGAAAAAAAATATCCACGGAAACAGCATAGATCTGGGGAAAGATGACTTAGTTCCCTATATGTGATTGTGGTTTTTTTAAAAAAATTTTTGCATATGTGTGTTTCAGTGGGGTTGTGCTTCTGTTTGTATGAAAGAGAAGGAAAGAGCGGGTGAGGGAAGGAGAGAGAGGGACAGAGACACACAGATATACACACACACACACACACACACAGAGAGAGAGAGAGAGAGAGAGAGAGAGAGAGAGAGAGAGAACAAGTTCTTTTGGGGCACCAGCCCCTCAAACCTCTTCAGAGTCCAGCAAAGGTGCTACAACTGTGGAGGGAAAATATCTAAGGATAAAAGAAATGAATCAGCTCACACAACTTTACTTCAGCATGTCTCTTCATTGTTCTACCCTCTTTCCTTCTGCCTGTATTCTAATTCTTCTGTCCTAACTGTCTATAATTTCTTAGCTCTAATTCTCTGCTTCGGTTCTAATTCTAATTCCAATTCCCTGTTACATTCTTTTTCTTCTTCACTTTCCTATTTCTGCTCATTCCTGCCAGCTTCTGCCCCAGCTTCTTCTCTTGCTCTCTTTGTTCTACCCAGCTTATAAAGACCCACAAAATCTTGCAGGCCTTCCTCTGAAGGACACATACCATTTCTTAAGTAAATGATAAGAAACAGAGTCATTCCAACCACTCACAGTGCAGTAGTCAGATAGTCAGGAAAGAGCACTCTCTTTCAGTTAACTCTCTACCTAGTGGGCTGCAAACTGCAGCTGTAAAAGGAGAAGTCTTTTCTGTTATCTTGTCTGTAGTTGTGGCCTTATAGAACTGAACTAATAAGAGAAATAAGGAAACTGGATGTTCTATCCTATACTTTTGAGTGTATGAAACATCTTAAACATTTTGTGATTAGTGGTCATAAAGACCAGGCTTTCTCGGACTGTAGAGTTGTCTGTTTTGTAAATGTGTCCTCAGAGAGAGTGAGTGCAGCAGCATGAGCTGCTGATGGGGGAAGTCCTTCTGTGTATATATATTTTAAAGATATTTATTTATTATGTATACAACATTCTGCTTCCATGTATATCTGCACACCAGAAGAGAGCACCAGATCTCATTGTAGATGGTTGTGAGCCACCATGTGGTTGCTGGGAATTGAACTCAGGACATCTGGAAGAGCAGTCGGTGCTCTTAACCTCTGAGACATCCCTCCAGCCCTCTGTGTGTATGATTAGCATATTGGTGTATAAATAAAGCACTGCTGGCCAATAGGAAAGCAAGATAGGTGGGACTAGGGGTCGAAAAGGATTCCAGGAAATATAGTAAGGATGCAGTTACCATGTGAGCCCACCAGGAATACAGGAACCAAGCCCAGCGTCCTCTATAAGATAAGTGATTAATGATAATGGTTGATAATTAAGACTGAGCTAGCAGATAAAAAATCCTAGTCATTCTACCTAATATAAGTCTCTGTGTGTTACTTGGGGCCCTAATCGGCAGTAGCTGGCAGAAAGATTTATGGTAACAAGCTGCAGAGACAAAGGGCAGAGGAGCCCATTCAGCAACTCCCCAAGGAGCATTTTAAATCTTAAGATATATTTGTAACTCTTAAGGGGAGCTATAAAGTTAGTTTATATTTTGTAGCTAAGTCTGGTTAGTCAGGCAATCTTACATGGTGTCTGAACAAAGGCCACAAAACTGAGGTTGGGAATCCATGCAAAGAGTTGATTGTTGCCCCTGGTACTACAATGAGGTTAGTTTGCACTATTTACCTTGACTCAACAAGTCATACAGCTGGTTACATGTCCTGGTAAGTAACATTGTATTCTTTTGGTAATAGTTTATCTTAAAATCCAATTAGTGAGGCACCTGGTTATGAGAAACAGTTTTTTTTGTTTTTGTTTTTGTTTTTTGTTTTTTGTTTTTTCTGTGTGACTGTTTTCACACAGAGCCAGGGAATGTTATCAATATACTCCAAGTGCATATATATAAGAGAGACACAGAGAGACACAGAGAGACACAGAGAGACACAGAGAGACACAGAGAGACACAGAGAGACACAGAGAGACACAGAGAGACACAGAGAGACACAGAGAGACACAGAGAGACACAGAGAGACACAGAGAGACACAGAGAGACACAGAGAGACACAGAGACACAGAGAGAGAATGCAATCAAATCATCATATCATATTGTTAGAAGGAAATATCCCTAGAGACAGGTCCCACTGGGCCATGCTCAATATAGGCAATTTCTCAATAGAGGCTCTAGCTTGTATCAAGTTGACAAAAACTTACTGGACACTATCATCTGTCTGTCTGTCTTTTTATTATCTTTCTTTCTCTTCTTTTTCATCTCTTCTTCCCTTTTCAAAGGCCTTGTATTAGTTATTTTCTCATTACTGTGACCAAATATTTTCTTGATATGGAAGGGCTCAGCCCACCATGTGTGATGCCATCCCTGGGCAGATGGTCCTGGGTTCTATAAGAAAGCAGGCTGAGCAGCCCTGCAGAGCAAGCCAGTGAGCACTGTCCCCCATGGACTCTGCTTAGGTTCCTGCCCCCAGGATCCTGCTGAGTTCTTGCACACTTCCTTCAAAATGGACCATGACATGGAAGCCAAATAAATCCCTTCCTCCTAGTGAGTTGGTTTTTGTCAGTGTTTTAGCATAGCAAAAAAACAAACAAACAAACTATACATATAGATGAAAGGATGGATGGATAGACAAGACAGACAGACAAGACAGACAGACAGACAGACAGACAGATGGATCTACTTATCACAGCCCTTGACTGACACACAGGGTGGCTTTTTCCTGCATCTCTTACCTCACAATCCATACCTACACATAATAAAGGCAATATACAGCAAGCCAACAGCCAACATCAAACTAAATGGAGAGAAACTTAAAGCAATTCCATTAAAATCAGGAGCAAGAGGAAGCTATCCACTCTCTCCATATGTATTCAATATTGTACTCAAAGTTCTAGCTAGAGCAATAAGATAACAAAAGGAGATCAAAGGGATACAAATTGGAAAAGAAGTTAATGTTTGCTATTTGCAGATGATATGATAGTATATGTAAAGGACCCCAATAATTCTACCAGGGAACTCCTACAGCTGATAAACACATTCAGCAATGTGGCAGGGTATAAGATTAACTAAGAAAATCAGTATCCCTCCTATACACAAACAAAAACAGGCTGAGAAAGAAATCAGAGAAACATCACCCTTTACAATAGCTACAAACAACATAAAATATCTTGGGGGTAACTCTAACCGAATCAGTGAAAGACCTGTATGACAAGAACTTTAAGTCTTTAAAGAAAGAAATTGAAGAGGATATCAAAAAGGAAAGATCTCCCATGCTCTTGGATAGGTAGGATCAGCATAGTGAAAATGGCAATCTTACCAAAAGCAATCTACAGATTCAATGCAATCTCCATCAAAAGCCCAGCACAATTCTTCACAGACCTCAAAAGAACATATTCAACTTCATATGGAAAAAACAAAACACCCAGGATAGCCAAAACAATCCTGTACAAGAAAGGAATTTCGAGAGGCATCACCATTCCTGACTTCAAGCTCTACTATAGAGCTATAGCAATAAAAAAACAGGTTGGTATTGGCATAAAAACTGACATGTGGATCAATGGAATTGAATTGAAGACCCTGACATTAATCCACATACCTATGAACATCTGATTTTTGGCAAAGAAGCCAAAAGTGTACAATTGAACAAAGAAAACATCTTCAACAAATGATGCTGGCATAATTAGGTGTTGACATGTAGAAAAATGAAAATAGATCCATATCTATTGCCAGGCACAAAACTCTAAGTCCAAATGGATCAAGGACTTCAACATAAATCCAGTTATACTGAACCTGATAGGAGAGAAATTGGGAAGTATCCTTGAATGCACTGGTACAGGAGACCACTTCCTAAATACACCAGGAGCACAGACACTGAGAGAAACAATCAATAAATGGGACCTCCTGAAACTGAGACGCTTCTGTAAGGCAAAGGACATGGTAAGTAAGACAAATGGCAGCCTACAGAATGGGAAAATATCTTCACCAACCCCCATCTGACAGAGCGCAGATCTCCAAAATATATAAAGAACTCAAGAAACCAGACATCAGACTACCAAATAATCCAATTTTAAAAATGGGGTACAGAGCTAAACAGAGAATTCTCAACAAAAGAATCTGAATGGCCA